TCCAGCAGGGAAGTAGTATTCCTAAGCCTCCTGCTATATGTGTGCCAGAAGTTAACAAATTGGATAAGCTGGAGGTGGCGCTCAATTCTGCTGTCTCCCCTGACGATTACGACATACGCACATCGAAATCTGGGATCTCGCGTATTTATACGAAGAATTCGAATGCGTTTCGTGCAATAATCAAATTATTGTCCAATCAAAATTGTCAATTCTGGCACCACCAGTTGAAGGAGAACAAACCCTGCAGATTGGTGCTCAGAGATATTCATCCCAATGTACCCAGGCAATTAATAGAGCGCACCTTTACCGACAAGGGCTTTACAGTTTTGAATATATATTGCCCCAGAAAACCGGACTGGCGTAACATTCAAATTAATGAGGAGGATGGTGAGGACATAAATAATGTCAAAACAAGACAAAATATGTTTTACGTTAACCTCCAGAACGCACCCAACGTTGCTGAGGCACTAAAAATAACTCAAATTGGTAGACACAGGGTTACAATATCAAAGGCCAAACAGAGTAAAGAGCTGGTACAATGCTTCAGATGCCAAGATTTCGGGCACACGAGGAACTATTGCCTTAAAAAGCCGGTTTGCGGTAAATGCTCGGGGGACCATGATACTGGCTCAAAATCATGTAACCTGAATGATAATGGGGAATTTATATGCGCTAATTGCGGCGAAGACCACATGTCGAGCTTCAGAGGCTGCAAGGTAAGAATTGATCTAGCCAAAAAACTTAAGCCAGCTGTGAGGTTGCCGAGAGATGGTCTAGTCATCGGTAGCAATAGGAGTTACCCAAACAACCAAGGCAATAAAGTACAGTTCATCTCAAACTCTGCTGTTAAGAGTGGCTTCTCTTACGCTGATGCAGCAAGGCCAATTGAAGGAAAGCGTACAATCGCGCCAACAAACCAAAACTCGCCCCGGGCACACATTTCCGCTGAAGATTGGCATCTAAACAATAAATTTAGTATGCTGGAAAAGGCGATTTTTGATCTAAACGCAAGAATGGATCAAATGTATAAGCTCATTCAGGAAAACATGGATTCCAATAGAGCCTTCCGTGACTTGGTACAAAAACTAATATCCAAATGTTAAATCCGCTGTTAAAAATCGGATTATGGAACGCACGGGGCCTGGTCAAAAACAATGATGAACTCAGGCTTTTCCTAAGTTCAAACTTGATCGATATCATGTTAATAACCGAAACGCATATGCGTCCTGGCTTGAACGCATATTTGCCAGGATACGACCAGTACTACGCTAATCATCCCAGTGGCACCGCTAAAAGTGGTTCTGCAGTCATCATTAGATCAAGTATCGCTCATTCACAGAATGAGCCAATTCTAAAAACAAGCATCCAAGCGGCCAGCGTAACTATAACGACGAATGGTGGAAGCATCAAAGTCTCCTCCCTATATCTTCCTCCCAATGAAGCTTGGTGCAGGGCCGACTTTGATCTATTGCTTGCAACCTTAGGAGATAAGTTTATTGTAGGCGGTGATTTTAATGCAAAACACCAATGGTGGGGTAATTCCAGATCTTGCAGGCGAGGAAGGTGTTTGCAAGAGGCCATAGCTAGTACTACTTGCCAAGTTCTTGCTACTGGAGAGCCAACTTTCTACTCATACAACACACGGCTTAACCCCTCTGCACTAGACTTCTTTATTGTCAACAGGATTGCCCTAAACAGACTCACCGTTGAAACAAAATATGAGCTCGCATCGGATCACCTTCCAGTAGTAGCGACGCTACATCATGCACCGCAATATAATCCCAAGAGGGAATATATTCTACCACCTGGCTCCCGTATTGATGTTTTTAAAGCCGATCTCGAAAGAAGAATTAACCTGAACGTCGAAATTAACAGTCCAGAGGATATCGAAGACGCGATATCAATCCTCATGAAGAACATTTCACTGGCTGCGTCTTCTGCTGCACCGAAAACTTTACGCTTGCCAACCCAACATAGTCAAGCTAGTCTACCACCAACGGCTGCTGCGCTCTTAAGCCTGAAAAGAAGAGTCAGGAAAGAATATGCAAGAACTGGAGATACTCGCATTCATCAAATCTACAAAAGACTGTCCAATCGACTGCAAAAAGAGCTTGCTAAAATCAGACAAGGCAGAATTGATGACATATTGGAAAGTGCTGGTCCAGATGCATCATTTAATTACTCGCTCTGGAAGCTTACGAGGCGATTCAAGAGGCTGGTCATCCCTAAGACTCCAATTAAGGATCCTACAGGTGGATGGAGCTATTCCAGTCAGCAGAAAGCTGAAATTTTTGCAAACAGCCTAGAGGAAAGATTTAAGCCTTTTGACTTTACATCAGCAGATAGGCGAAGGGTAGTCGAGCTTAGGCTGGAGATGCCATTCCAAATGGCCTTGCCTGCAAGCCCAGTTACACTGCAAGAAGTGGTACAGCAGATAAAAAATCTAAAGGTCAAAAAAGCGCCTGGAGAAGACCTTTTAGACAACAGGACTCTGAAACTGCTCCCCACAAGGGCTCTGCTGTATATTGTTTTGCTCATGAATAACATACTCAGGCTGAGGCACTTTCCAAACTGCTGGAAAATGGCGCTAATTACGATGATTCCAAAGCCAGAGAAACAGCATACTGAAGTAGATGGATATAGGCCGATTAGTCTGCTACCTGCCCTCGGGAAGATGATGGAACGCGTGATTCTGGACCGGATTCTCCAGCTCGAAGCCGTGACGCGCAGAATTCCAAAATGGCAATTTGGATTTCGAAGAAGTCACGGAACACCGGAACAGCTCCACCGTGTGGTCAACTTCGCCCTGGAAGCCATGGAGCAAAAGATGTACTCAGTGGCTGTGTTTATGGATATTAAACAAGCTTTTGATAGAGTGTGGCATGATGGTCTCCTCTGCAAATTGAAAGGCATGCTAACTCCTCAATTGTTTCAACTCATCGAAAGCTTTCTAAGGGACAGAAGCTTCAGAGTTGCTGTTGATGGAGTGAAATCCACGAGGCGCTCAATTTGTGCAGGAGTGCCCCAAGGCAGTGTTCTGGGTCCTACCCTGTATACATTATTTACTGCTGATATGCCTGCACCGCAAGAGATCCTTGGAGTAGACGAGGATGACGCACTAATAGCTACTTACGCAGACGACACTGCGGTGCTTACCAGATGCAGAGATATCGATGTAGCTTCGGAAGCCTTACAGCAGTATGTAAGTAGTTTCGAGAAGTGGGCTCTGAATTGGAACATTGGTATCAACGCCAGCAAGTGTGCGAATGTCACATTTACAACAAGGCCGTCGTCATGCAGAGATATCACAATGTTGGGGTCCACGCTCAGTCATACAAATTCGCACAAATATCTTGGTGTCATTCTGGACAGAAGACTCAACTTCAGCAAGCATACAACAATGGTCAAGCGATCGGTCATGGCAAAAGCCGGAAAGATGGCATGGCTGCTTGCACCCTGCAACAAGCTGTCTCTGCACAGTAAGGTGACAGTATACAAGTCCATATTAAGTCCAATATGGAAGTATGCGCTACCAATTTATGGCATTGCCGCTGCATCGAACCTAAATAAAATAAGAGTTGCGCAAGCTAAAATACTCAGAAAAATATGCAACGCTCCCTGGTATATGCGCACTAGGGACATCGAAAGAGACTTATGTGTCCCCAAGGTTGGCGATGTCATTCAAATGCACGCAAGCAATTACGAGAAGCGACTCGGCAGTCACCCCAACGCACTAGCGAGGCGGCTCCTGTCCAAACCTAAGAAGAGAAGATTGAAGAAGTGCCATCCAAAGGATCTCCCCACAAGATCCCTTGTATAAAATATATAATATATATCATAAAATATAATTTCATTTCTAATGTAAAACATTGTAAATATTGTATATATGTACATAGATATAAGTGCGTCCTATAGATGCTTACTATAGACAACTTTTGTATTCCCTAACTTTCAACTAGCTTAAGCTGCCATATTGGTAGTAGAAAACTAGTTTAATAAATTGTATATATGTAAAAAAAAAAAAAAAAAAAAAAAAAAAATGTTAATGTTACGTAATAAAAGGGTTTTTCCTTTAAATACGATCAAGTATTGGCACTTTTGTGGAAAGAATGTCTTGGTATTGTGTCGTGTTATCGAAACTTGTAAAGAAATCAAATTATTTGATGAACATTCTGATTTTGCTTTCGGCTACTGAAGCTTTATTGATATATGTGATTTGCATATGATTAAAAAAGAAGAAGGATGACCACTAAATATTGATATCACAAAAAGTGAGAGCGAAATTGTTGCCGTTAAAAACTTCTCTGTGTTTTTGCAAAAGTGTTTGTGATGTAGGAAATTTGGTTTCAGATAATGGTTGTTTTGTTGGGATTGTAGTGAATTTTTAAGATATGCTGCTGCGTTCAAAAATAAATAATATTTGATCAGAAAATAATAAGCTCTAGCCAATCTTAAAGCTTTTCCTTTCCTGTGGGGTAGTGGGAATATGCTCTTATGGATAGGTAATACACAAATTTATTAAGGACTCTTAGTATTAGTCATTAAGTGCTTCCTAAGCCCTTAAGTGGCACAGCCTGAACACACAAAACTCTACACCTTTTTTCTTAAAGTTCGCTCCTAGAAAACGGTTACATAGAAATTAAACAAAACAGTTATAAGAAATCATAAGAAATTTGTTTGAAATATAGAAAAAACACTAAACACAGCATCTAAGAAAAGAATGCAAAAGCAAAACTCAATGTGTTGTATAAGTTTAATAGATGGACGCAAAATACTTTCAAGTGGAATATTTTGAGAAACAGTTATAAATCATTGCAGATTGTAATAGTTGATAGAGTACAAACAAAAGAATTGAACGTTGTTGTAAGTATTATTGTTTTCAATAGGCAACAAACGAGTAAATACTTAGAGTGAACGAAAAGTTAATCAAGAAAACATAACAAAGAGAAGACGCTTAAGAGCGCAAATCTACAAAGGTACAAAGGTCCTTAAGCTTGTACCATTTTCACTTCTGAGAGCGAGCTGATCGATAGCACATACATGGTGACTCCGACTTCGACGGGAGGTCCTGAAACACGTACACAGTTTGTTTTGCTCATTATAGTACACATACGTTAAATAAGTATCAAGATAAGTAAATAGATAGTAAAACATGATGCATGTTCGAGTTCTTCATTTTGGCTTGCTGCATGTTGCACCCGCATCACGTGTATATCTAACAGTATTTTTAGAGTAATTTTCAATATCGGTCTACTTACCACCATAATTGGGTCTTACTCTTTTATCGTAACTAACACTAAAGGAGTCGAGTATAGCAGATATGTTCACATCTCCCAACATGCTGCCACCACCAGTCCTACGAAGCAAGAAAAAACAAATATGTTAGTTGAATTTATGTAAGTCGCTTTGAAATATTATACAAGTATGAATTAGTTATAAGTTGCACAGAATAATTCTGATTTCATTTTGTTTTACATTTATAATAACGATTTATAAAGAAATATCATAGGAATGAGTTTTTTGTTTTCCATTTTGTTTTCTATTAAATTAATTACATTATTTATCTTCAAAAACTTAACAAGATTAATTGAAAGGGCATTATAATTGATAGTAATTGAACAGATGTTTTTATCTTTCATTTACACTTCTTATCTATTGCTAATTCATTCCAGACAGGGTCGATGATAGGAAAGACCGGTCGGCGAAACAGTCAATAGTAATCCTTTACAATAATACAAACGTACTCAGTGCAAATTATTCAAGTTAGGGCTTAAACTGGTACATAGCTTAGAATGTGGAATTCCGATATGAACACAACATTAAAGCTGTTTTTCAAAAGGAAAGTACAACATGAACTTAATTTTTTAAAAATATAATATATAGTATAAATGTTATTGAATATTTGTGTACATTTCTGATGAGATACCTTTTTTAAAATTTAATTTAAATTACAACAGTTAGTTGGATTTAACATCTGCTATCGATCACATAACAAGTATAGTATGTCGTTCCTAATTGAAACTAAAGTTTCGTGGCATTCCATCACATAATTTATGCAGTAGTGGGCTCAAGAGAAAATGGTACTTGCCGTTGAGTGCACTTGCGAATGTCAATGGGCCATACTCGAGACTCAATGTGCAAATATTTGCCTATTGCCTGAGAAAACTGTAAGAAAAATAGGTTTTTCATATTCGCTGCATATTGAAGCCGTGTGTATTAAGCGAACACATATCGCAAAAGTGGAATACATATTTTGCCAACATTTTAGACACTCGATGGCTTTGAATTGTTGTAGATCGAAACTTATAAGTGGCCCAGCAACAACAAAAAAGTCGTGCAGAGAACATTCGAGCTCAGTGTGCCACTTTAATGTCACACCAGGCTGGCTGCAACTATTTCGTATCTTTTAGGAACAGTTTGTTACGAACTACTTTCCTTGCTATCTGTTATTTGTTTTGCATCATTTTTGCACAACTTTTCCCATTACTGTTTTGCATTGGATGGCCGATGCTGACTCGTAAAACAGAGCGGAAATGCGCAAGCTCATAAAAATAATATAGGCTCCTACATGCTCGTTACTCTGATACATACTGCGTATATACTTATATTTATGTGTCAGAAGCAGTTTTCTAAGTGGAAAACAATACAGAGATAAGCGTAGTTGGATCCCTCTGGCAAACAAGCAAAGTTTAAATTCTTAATTTTTATATGTAAGACGGAAATGTAACTTGAATATTTTTAATTGAAAATTGAGCTGAGTAAGAGCGAAAGCGCAATTCAACTCTGAACTTCTGCAGCTATCTTATGCTGTACACACAAGTCAATAAGTCAGTCCGCTTGTGGATATACTCAGAATGTGAAGAAACAACAATTTATGTTCAATGACACTCAACGGCGAGCTTGAAGATGCTTCTGTTTATGAGGGCGCGGTGCTTTTTGATGGCACTAAGGCAAAGTGCAGCTACCCCAGATATCTATACAGGCACATACACACAATCTGACACATTCACATACACACACACACACACACACACAATCTGACACATTCACACAAACTGTTCTTGCTTTGGCGCTGCCACTTTGGTATTATCTTCTATCAATAAATTCCAAGTGAAGTGGGCACTCATGTGGAGCAAACCGTCGCACAGCGGGCTTTTGGGGCACAGCGTGATGTTCCTGTGGCTGTGGCTGTGTTTACGTTGGTGTGCGCGCTGTTATGGTGGAGGTCTGTAAAGTGAGCAAAGCACAGTGGCTCTCTTTTATAGAACACGAGTTTCGAAACTATGAAATATTACTTTAAGAAAATTCATAAAATTATTTTTATACACTTATATTATATTCATGATAAGTAGTACGTGGACAATTTTTAAAATTCTGTGTACCTCTTAACTTACATGTTATTCAAAATAAGTTTGATTAGTCATAAAACAAGTCTACTTGCCTAACCAATTAAATATTTTAAGCTGATTCATAAAAGAAATATTCGCAGGAGTGGACAGGTGCTTAACACTTTTTTAAAATGTTAAAGGAAAGTTGTGCCGATGCGGCAATAGCCATATCTGTCTGTCCGTCTATCTGTTTCTATGCAATTATTATTTTCGCTTAGTCTTCTTATTACTGCAAGATGTTCATCAAGGAGAGAAATAGCTCAGAAACGAAAGCACTACAGTCTTCAATTAAATATTAAAAAATTTGTTCAAACATTCCGATAACATATAATGAAAACAAAGATTTTGTTAACAGTTGTATCCTTATGAGGCCTAATATACCTACAAGTATAATAGTCAGATTATGAAATATTAATTGTGAACCACGGTGCAATGCAAACAGCGTGGGCAGCAAATGGCAGGCAAACTTTGCCAAGTTGCAGGCGCATCATTCGAGGTTCTCTCAGGGTTTCTGTGTGGTCTTTAACCTTTTGGATACAATCATACTATATACTTGTATTTGTGTGTATGTGTGTGTTTGCATGCCTTGAGTTTTGCCTGCTCAGCTGTCCCGCCTGCCGTCTTGGCATTTCGTATTGCATATTTTTTTGCTGCTGCTAGCACTGGCAGTGGCAGCCTGTGCAAGGCTTGGAACAAGTGGCTAGCACCTTTTCCTGTTCCAAATAAATAGCAAGCTTTTGTGTGCCACGACATGTTCGATTGCTTTTTTTGCGCAAGTTGTCCCTTGTTACGGCAATGCCAACAACAGTGAAAAGGCAATGGTGATGGCCTAATCGTCATGCAACATCGCGTGTGTCTCCGTCTTCCTCTCCGTCTCTCCCGTAGTCGGGACACGCGACCGTGTAATCCCATAAACTGGCATTTGTACTCAAGCAGGCTGCAACAACAATCCCAAACGCCACTTTCTTAGCGCATAGACCGCATTACCCCTGGCAACTTGGCATGTTATGCAAATGTTTGTGGCTCTGCTGTGCCTAAATATTTACTAATGAGCGTTAACCTAAAAAGGAAAGCAATAGCAGAAGTCACAGAGCGCTCAATCCATAATTTGTATGATTAAGTCGACATAACCCGCGGCTAATGCTATAATTGCGGCAAGCATTGTGCTGTTCATTCCCCCTAACTTGACATCTCCTGCGCTGTCCATTTGTGGTACCAGTATGTGTAAAGTTGTTGAACATTTGGCAGTGTTTTTCAAAAGCAAATAACACTCGAAAATGGCAAACAGTACGACGGCTTTGAGTAATTACAAGCCAACCACGTGACAGTTGTCATTTTTTAGCTGTCGACCAAAGTCGACCGTAGCCGTACCCTCACCCGTGGCCGTACTCGTAGCCGTAGCCGTTTCCCATGCAATTTTAATGACTGGCACATGGAATTGTCACGAGGATAATAATAATTTGTCTACACTGTTTCTGAAGGCGAAAGCATGCGACGCGAAGCGAAGCGACGCGACGCGACGCCATGGCGACCCCAACAAACTGGTATTATGCCTAATTGGCGACCGTTGGTTGGGCATTTCGGAATTGGGCCTTCACACCACTCCCTTGCAGCTTCAACTCGTATTTGTTATTGTGCGGCTGCGTTGAAACGTGCAAAAAATTTACATATTCATAAATTATCATAAGCAATGGCACTATGGGGAACCATGTGAGTACAAGTACACGCACGAATAGCCACTCTTAAGCTCTGCGGCGAACTGGCCTCGCATAATGCTGCAAAAATTCAGCTTGATAAATGTATTGCAGAGCAGATAGCACAGGGATATTGTCCGGCATGGATATTCAAAAAAGAAGAAGAAAACAAAAAGATCGACTGCAGTCAATTTATTGCCTACGTTTTCTAAAAATAAAGTCTTTGTCAAATAAAAATAATGCATTTTTTAAAATACATTTATTAATACGATTTCTTAAAGCTGTGTTTCAAAAAGATTATTGTAAGTGTTAGGAAAATTCAGCGTCGCAGCTGCTAAGCTAGAACCGTATTAGAAATATCGCTATCTGATCAGTAGAATACTATAGCTGACCATTAATTTGACTTTATTTCAATAATTAAAGGTATTTGTATATATATGTATCTTATCTAAGGTCGGTGATTTGGTAACTCTTCACATTAGGTAATATTAGGTATCTACTTACGCTGCTTGGACTGAGCCTATTCGGCCGGGTGGTCCCTGCCCAAAGAGCGCCAAGTTCACCGTCAGCCATAGCGTCAATAGTGGTGCACGTGACTGTGTCAGGCTGCCTATTGTGTCCATTACTGAACCACTCATGGCTGTGCTGTGGTTGCTGGTTACAGGTTACAGGTTACTGGTTGTGTGAAGTTGTGGAAGTCGTTGTTGAGGCCTTCAGTAAGTGCAAATTACTGATTGAAAGGGTTTGCGTTGAGTTGAGTTTCGTTTTTGAAATTTGTTGTTTATTATTGGATTTGTTTTTGGTTTTTGTTGCATATAAAGTAAGTTAGTTATAGTTGCAGTAGTTGTTGTATTTGTTGTTGTAGTTATGCCCTTTGGATTTTGTTGTATGTTGTTTTAAGTTGAAGTCTCAGTCAGTAGGTTTTTTGTTTGTTTAGGCAGCGAGGCATTCAGTCAGTCCTTCGGTATGTGTCATTTGTTGTTGCTGTTGTTGTTGTATTTTATGTTGTTGTTGTTGTTGCTGCAATATCTGTTGAGCTGCTACAGCGCGCTATCTTCCCTTTTTGGCCCTGTACAAAACCAACTGATTGACCTATGCTGTTGGCTGACTGCTGTTAGCTGTTGGTGACTGCTTTCGCCTCTCCCTATTGCATGTCCATGCGTTGCCAGTGCCAGACCGTGGAATTGCGTGCAAGACCGAAGCACAGCCAGAACAGCAGCAAGAGAAGCAGCAGCTGTAGCAACACAAACGAATCGGAGATCGCTTCGAGCGTAACGGCACTGGGTTGAGTCGCGTCTCGACCTGCACGGACCGATGCTTCTGCCGCCGTCGCCGCTGCTGCCTGAATCTCGGGCGCAACGGAAGCGTTTGCCAATGCCTGACGTGACGAATGGGGGTGGGATGAAGACGAAATTGACGTGGTTAGGCGCGCTGAAGACGTTGGCAACATTAATTGCGGATGCCTAGACTCTGTTGCTCTCCCCCCGCCGCTTTAACACGCCCTCTATTGCTGCTGTTGTTGTTTGATAGCCGACTTTGATAATCAAGCAACGTCCTGTTAGGACAAAGACATCTTTATTGACTTTTAATAGGTGCTATCTTTTCCTTCGTCTGTATTTACAATGAATACTTATTGTGAAATGTGCGAGCAATGTTAGGTATAAAAATCAAGCAACGACCAGCAACTCTCCTCCTCTCTCTGGCTTCCTGTATGACTATTGCTCGCACTTCAATTTTACAACTGAGCTCGTGATCCAAATTTGCATCCGATAGTGCACATCTCACCGCTCGCCCATGGCTGCTGTTATTGGTACTCTCTGCTTTGCTTGGTCAACATATGCAATATGCACATTTATGCTGCATTCGGTGCTGTTCCTGATGTTGTTGTAGTTGGTGTCATTTTGTGCGCGGTCCTGGCAAGCGCCTAAAGTCATTTTAAAAATATAGTTCTCTCTCTCACAGTTTCATATCTAATTTAGATTTCGAGTGTTTTTTCAGCATTTTTATTTTAGTCTAATTTATACATTCCTCTAACTTTTGTTTTTATTTTAGCAAGCACTGAAAATAAGATTTGAAATCAAAATTATATGTTATGCACTGTCGACATATTGTATTATTATTTTTTTACGTTTTATATTTATTTGCTTAATATGTGTTTTTCATTCCGTGTTGGGTTTTTTGTTGTTGTTATGTTATCTAAAGAAGTCATTTGAATTTGCCTAATTTCGATTATTTGTTATATGCTAAGGATCTGAGTATTATTTATATAGACTTTTAGCAACTTTAAATGGGTTTTCACACCGTTCCACTCGCTTTTGCGTTTAAATTCAGTATTTGTTTTTTAAATATTTGTAGTTCGTATAAACATTTAATATGCATTTTATTAATTGGACTATCACTTTTTGGTCATTATTTGAAAGAAAAAATTCATTTTGTTCCAAGCGCTTAAAATCAGGGCGCGCCGCATGTCGTATAAAATTTTCACTCCATTGCTGAGGCAAAGTTTGCACACACACAGACGCACGCCCACAAACAGGCTGGCGCAGTGGCAAATGAACTATATTATATGTGCAGTTACATATACTCACTCGTATGTATGTATATATGCAAGCACATACCCACATTCATACATAAACACAAAAACAGTGAAGCGCTGAAACACAGCAGACACTCATACATATATGCATATATACTGTTGTATACATATATTATACTTGTATATTTGTAAGTATGTTTATTAAAGTCAACGTTTTGCTAGCGCTTGATTTTTCGTGCAGTTTTCATCCGATACATTTTCTCAGCTGCGCGTTTCGGAACTGTTTGCCATGCCAGACAGCCAGTAGCTTGCAGGACAGTCAGCGAAGTCAAGCCAAGCCAAGCAACACACTGTCTAAGCAGGCGCCACTTTCAAAGAGCGGGAGAGAGAAATGCCAAAAATAGCCGCAGCCTGTAAGTATGCTACGCTTTCTGCAAAGGCTCTCCTGCAATCTCTCTCTCTCTCTCTATCTCTCTCCTTTATTTTGCGGGAGCACTTTCGTTGGAGCTCCTATATTCGTTGGCCCCTTCCCCCCGCTCTTTTGTTATCCTTTCCGATGTTGCCCCATCTACGTGCCTTTGCAGCGCGCCCAAGTCCACTCGCAACCCCGATAGTTACACTTTGCTTAGCATAAACGCTTGCTACTTGGCTTAGAAGTCGACACCGCTCAGTACGCTTGTATGTGTTTGCCTGCGTCTGTGTGTGTGTGCGTGTGTGTGTGTGCGTGTGTGTCAACCTTTGGCCATTTTTTGTAATAGTGCTTTTTGTTTTTATACAAATTGTTGTATGGAAGTATGTGCGTGTAGGTGCCTCTTTTTGCTTGCATATTTGATTTGTAAGCCGATTTTTAGCCAGTTTTGTTTTGTGTGTTCTACATATTTCGTTAATTGCAGGTGTGCACTTAGTTTTTGTGCGAGTTTTATTTAAATAGTTTTCGAATTTCTTCCGGAACTTGAAGTGATTTATATGTTGCTGGTTTTTGCGGTATTTAATACAATTAACAAAAACAAAAAGTAAATGAGAACAAAACCCATGGAAGAAACTATATTAAAATTGTCTAACTCCTATTAAACGAGTCTAGGGTTAAGCTTTATTTCAAGATTAGGTTGAGTTATCATAAAAAAATCTCAAAAATACCATATTATTCAAAGACACTTTCTACAATGAAAAGTGATTCTAGTAAGAGTTATTTTGAAGATAAAATAATTAAGCTATAGATAGTTATGACAAACTTGGTCTTAGTGTGGTACGACAAGTCTACATACGAGCTGTAGAATAACTCAAGACAGAACAACGGACTGATGAACATATCTATCTTGTTTCTTTTTGTTATACTTATATGTCACTCTTAGCATTTGGCGTTTAAGCTTTCTAAATGAAATAAGCAAATATCAATATTGTTTTTAAGACTTTTCCATCACATTTTATTGTAATACCGTTTACTTATGTGTTTATGAGTCTCAGAGAACCTGAAGTTTTCAGACCCAGATAGCGTGAAGTCGGTAATGCATCTAAGGACTCTGCTAATCTAGCCATACATCAAATATTAATTTATATTTCGTAAATGTAAATGTAAATGATAGTAAAATAAACAGCCTATGAATTCATATTAGTCAAGCACGATAGGATACTGCTTTCTTAAAATAGATACTTTTCCTGATTTGTAGACCCGCCTCACGAATTTTTTTTTAAGTGTGTCGCCTCCCCATCACATTATTGAACAAGTGTCTAGTCAATTTTATAATTCAATTAAAAAAAGGATGAATAAACGAGAATTTTTGAACAATTTGAGATAAATTGTTTTAATTTTCATGAGAATAGAGCACTTACTAATTGGCAATTGAAAATCTTCTAGCTAACATAATAATTCATCAAATTAAAACAACTTGTAAGACTAGCGAAGCAATACAAAATAATGAAATCAATCCCCAATTGCGAATAATTAAGAAATAACAATTGAGATTGTTTTTTGTCTCACAAGTGAATAAGGTTTCTTGTCATGTATTATAAATAAATAATTATAAAAAGTTATACGATCCCTTTGTATTTACTATAAGAACAACATTTAAAAGCAGTTTCATAGAAACTCCAAACATAAAAGACCTCATAAAAGCTATTATAAGGCACTTGATAAAAAGTTTTTCAAAGTGTTCTGGGCATGAGTAAAATTGAAATATGTAGAAAATAAAATATACTGTGACTTTAAGCCGTTAACCTCGCCCTAGTGTATAATGGCCACTGTCATCTTAAGGCGGGCATCGGAGTAGGTCATAAACTGTGTGTGGCCCAGAGAAGCTGGGCGTGTGTGTGGGTGTAGGTGGGAGCGATTTTGGCAATTAAAAGCATATGCGGGCCGCTGCCAGGCTAATCAACGATGCCGCCGCCCAAGCGATTAGTTTGAAAATTAAACAAAGCCAAAGATGTGCAAGGGAATAAACGAAGCGAGGAAACGAAGATGGAGCTGTCAAGACGAAGGCGCCAGGCACGAGGACTACGACGATGTCGACGTTAATATTGACGGCGACACATACTATACATATATAGCTATATATACACACAAACACTCACACGTAAACGTATACATACACGCAGGCACACACATACGCGCATACAGACATACATACAGGCGAGGCACTGCAGGCGATACAGGCTCTGCTTTTCTTTCTTCTTTTTGATTGTTTGGGTTTTTTTTCTTCTATTGTACCATTTTTTCTTCTTTTTTTTGTCGTTTCCTAGCTCAAAATAATTTTGCGCCTGGCCTGTGCGTATGTTCATGTCCATGTGACTTACATACATACATAGGCGTGCATTCGTATGTGAGCATGTGGTAGTGAAAAACTTTAAATATTTTATAGCACACTTTTTGTGGCACAATTTGAACTGCGCATTTTCATAAAATTTTCGCACAATTTATTCACAAATTATCGTTGCTTAAACAAGTTGATTTTTTTATATTCATCTTGGGATATACACAAAAATTATTTATATCATATCATTTCTGCGCCATTTCCCCGGGCGTAGCTGCATACAGTTTTACAGTCGACGCGATCTTCACAACATTTGTTAATTTTAGATATTTTTAAGCCATTTATTGGATTTATTTATACCGTTTTCTGATTTTCTTGAAATTGGAAAGTTTTCTTTGCCTCGCTTCAACAAATTGTACAGTAGGCGACGACTAGCTCGCTCGCTATGAGTGAAAAACAGGCGTGTATGCGGCGACCGACTGGCAGAGTGGCACTTACATCACGAAGCTAAAAAATTCAGGGTGCGACCGGGCACACCGAGCCGAAACTGGTGCACGAGTCAAATACGAAGGCGTGCAACGAAGTGTAGAATACGAGCACACGCCAAAACTTTTCGCCAGCTCCGAGTTTTAAGTGTAACACTGGAGAGCGTTTGTGAGGTTTTGTTGCAGGTCTTGGTCGATTCTGTTGTTGTTGGTGCAGGCCCAAAACACTCACAACTTTTGCGCTCTGCTCCTGGAAGCCTACAGATATTTGAGTGTACGAGTACATGTGTGTTTGGATGCGTACGTTCTTGGCTATATGTAAATTTGTTAGTGTGTGTGTGTGTGTGTGTGTGTGTGTGGGTGTGCGTGCGCGTGTTTTGTTTGCAAGCGGGGACAGTTTTTGCCTCTTACTCCCAACACTCGCACAATAATCAACATAAATCAGCCAAATAATCAAAATACAAATATAGCAACGATATTGTATATTTACACTCGTTGTCTAAAGGATTCCACAAAAAATCAGGTTAGTTCGGAACTGCAAAGGAAATGTTTAATATAATAATATTTAACTGATTGTTTAACAAAAGTGAAGCGGCGCAATTGTGTGTAAATAAATATTTTAGATAAATTTGGATGCTACAGATAAAAGCATTGGGTTGCATTTCAGTTCCGTTCAAGACTATATATTCGATCCTGTTTTCTTTTTCAGCATTTGAATAGTTTATCACGCCTCTTGAGACAATCCACAAAGTATATTAATTCTGGTTTAGGATGATGGGATGAGTCGATATAGACATGCTGGTCCAAGCTTAGTACACAGGTTATTAAAAGTCTGATAAAGGATAAGTGTATAATGGTTTTTAATCACCTACTATTGCCCCGATATTAGTGACATTTCATTCAACAAATGTAATTTCTGCACAATTTAATTTTAAGAGTACTTATAAAAGTTCAACATGGCGATTACTGCAAATAAATATTAACACGTTATACTCGTATGTTTTGGTGTATAATGTATTTGTTAAATAATTTGTAAATAAACATTCACTTATCCCTGTATTTACATATAGAGTAGTTTTCATCGTAGATACTAGAAAAGCTTATGTTATTATTATTATTTAATATTTAATGTAAATATCACTAGTTTAATATTATAATTTTTAGAACCATGAAATAAACCATAAAGTAATTTTAGCAGGCTCGTATCAAAAGCGGGAAACCAAAAATACTTCTCTATTGAATTATTTTTGAACTTTCCAGCACCAGCTTGGATGAGGTTGATTTGTGACCTTTGAAATTATCTATTGAATTCTGAAAAGACTAATTGAATTCATGAGATGGCACGCCATAAATGTGGATGCAATTCTGCTGTATGTATAATTATTTTTTAGAATCCGTGTGAAAGGAATACACCAATTCGCACCAATACAGGCTCATGTAAGGACACACATAGGCGCAAGTTGATTGAGTCTGCTTTTGTTATTGTTGCGCCGATGGCAACGCAAGAAATGTATGAAAATGAAATGCGGCCGAGCTTTTCCTTTCGATACCGCGGCATACATCTGTACATATGTATGTCTGTGAGTATGTGTGTGTGTGTGTGAGTTTTGATGTTTGTGTGGATGTTTATGTAAATCTCGCATTGTGCGTGCGTACGTGTAGGTGCGTGTGCTCGTTTTTCTTGCCGCAAACAACAATGGCAACACAAAATTAATGAAACACATGCAGCACTGCGTAATTCGTCATTTTGGCAAATTTTGAATGATTTAAACAGAAACTCTGTGCGGGAACTGGTGACATGTATATATGGGATTTTAAAGACGTCGTCTGAAATTTCCTCCTATGTATGTTTCTCACGTCTCTGTGTGTGTGTGTGTGTGTGTGTGTGTGTGTGTGTGTGTGTGTGTGTGTGTGCGAGCTCCCTTTTTCTCATTCTTTTCTTTTATTTTTGACTGGCATGGGGCAATCCATTATATGTTTTCTCATTTGCCATTTTTTGTAAACCTAGGCGTTTGCTTGGATGTCGAGATTTTTAGCGAACAGCGGAAACAACTCCGACAATGTTTACTTAATAGAAACGTAAATGTGCGCAATTGATGCTGTTTTTCACAACCGTCTAATGGCAAACAATCATATACGTACAAGTATATACATAGTACGAGTATATACTTCTGTGTATTTGCATGTATGTACATACATATCTCGCTTGCTATGTAGACAACGTTTGTCGTCCTTGGTCGTATCTCATTTGAATGCCACGTACGTTTTCTACAAGTACAACTTATTTGGCGTTTGTTTTTCGTTACCATCCAACGGCCTCCACCAGCGCTTGATAAGTCGATATTTTTTGCATGTTTTGCATATTTTTGCAATAATCTGTAATATCCAACGATGGCGATGTTTTATTCGTGACAACCGACGAGGGACCGCCGCGTCAATCCATTGTCAGCACTACCAACTATATAACATATCGTATGTCGGATATTAGTTTTTAAAATCTCATATTTTCCTATAAGTGCAATAATACGGCTTTAAATTAGGTATGTCATAAGATTATGAGGTGCATACTTGAATAAAACAACTAAAAGTATTGAATACAACTATATTTGAATTAATTATATAATATTATTATGTATATTCTATATTTGTTTTAAAAAATCAGAAAATCAATAGCTCTAATATCCTGTACTTGCCTTTAATGCACTGCAGCCATTCAGGCAAAATAAATAAATTGTGCCATCAATATGCTACAAAAATTCGAACGATTTTGATAAAGTTATTGCGAAACAGTACAAAAAACTCATAAATACTTGGCAGATATATGTGTGAACATACGATATATGTACATAAATAAATGACGTGAAAACGAATGCTGCATTAGTAACACGCTTTAATTGCCTGACCCGTGGCGAAAGTACGTTTTGCCTACGTTGCAATATTCAAAAAAAAAAAAAAAAAAAATCTGCTCAGTGCAGAGTATATGAACTTACCAAAAAGGGCTGGATGCTACGCCACCCGAAATGGGCCACAAAAAATATGTGCTCCAGTCCATATGTAAAATTTATGCATGTCCGAAAAAACTACCTTCATATTTAATTTGTGGTATTTTAATGACCATAAATATGCGCACTAGAGAAATGATTTATTTAATTGTTTGTAACGAAAAAACTTCCACATAGCGTTCTAAAAATTCAAATTGGTAAACATCCAAATACTCTTACAAATGATTAAGTGATAGATATTGATTAAATAAAAAATCTACTACTATTTCCGAAAACAAATGATGATCTACTATATACTCGTATTTTGACAAGACAAAAACGTAATAGATAGTCGTACAATTAAAATTGTTTGGCATGTGCCATGAACATTGTCTAGCAAGGGCATTGGCATAGGCATGGTCACATGAGCATTGTTGAATATGCATACACAATTGTTGTTTTACTCGGCGCGTACAGAATTGGGGCCAACCTGGTATAATGCCTGAATGGGACGATGTTATATACAATGGCTAAATGGAGACAACAGCAGCAGAAATGAAATGACCTTTCAAAACAGGCACATGTGTTTTAATTTGTTCAACAACAGTATCAGCAACGACAGTCGCAATGCACCATTGCCGCGAATACAAAGTACATACAAACATACATAGTTTGAATCACATAGGACTACAAAATTAATCCCATTAAAGAACTACATTTTGTACCAAATGTGCAAAAGAGTAGACTAATGTATTGGGAGTCTACGTATAAAAACGTCTATGATTAAACACATATATTTGCAAACACAATCTGCAATCACAAAAGGAGTGTAACGCAGCATGAGAAGGAATATTAAAATCCACTAAGGTGGGTTTCAACGAAGTGTTTGATGAGCTTTTAAGCATGGCACGGCTAAGTGAATATGAATGAGACTTTTAGGCTCCTAGAATGCAACATCTTTGAGAATCTCATTGAAAAATTCCTAAGTTGGCACTATCATTGATATAGGCGGCAAGTACTTGAAGTTCCTCAAGCTTTTGAAGGTGGTTGTACACTACAATTGGAAGGATGTCCGTCCTCCCGCACATGAGTCAAATGGGATCTATAGTATTACTATTCCTTTTTACTCAGGATTCACTTTGCAGAGAATCAATATTATAAATACCAGAATAGAATTTAACTTTTAATACGTATATTCCAAATGTTACACTAAAATATGATTTAAATATAATTTTAGACTATAGCTGAGTCACACCCACAGCTAAAATGGGTGCACAACATAAAATATATGACGTAGAAATTATACATAGGCATGCTAGAAATATAGCGATCATGATAGATATAGTACATTTCGAATAATCTTATTCTCTTAGTGAACCCTGAAAGATCGAAACATTGTTCAACATATAATGTGTTGGGATAGATAGCAGTACTCTTTGCTGAGGTCGTCCTTAAATATCGTATATGCTAACCTTTCCCTTTCAGATGTGATTCATAAGAAATTAAGAAACATTCTTTAAGACACACCATCCAACAGGCTTCTGTGGGCCAATGGTTCAATGTACCCGTTGAATAAGCCTCCCCATCAAGCGTAGTTGCGGGCCTTCGTTCAACATTTTTAAAGCAAATGCTGATGGGATGTGTGAATTGTGTGATGTGGCATGCCTGATGTTTTATTTCTGCTCGGCTTGATGGCAAACTGTAACGGCATCCTCGCGATGATTGTCAGCTGCATCATGCCCTACATATTAGTAGTAAATTTTTTATCAGACAAATTTCCGGTGTAAGCCGCAAAACTTTCAGAAATAAAATCAAGAAAATGAGCGCTAAGCTGGCAGGTGGCAAAAAACGCAGAGCCAACAGCAAGCGCTGGACAAACAGAGCTCTGTTTACATGTACGTACATAAGTGTGTCTGTATGTGTGTGTGTGTGTGTTTGTGTTTGTGGGCCAAAACAGCAGCATAGGGAATATGGCAATATAAATGTTAAAGCAACAACGACAACAACAAAAACA